CTATCTTCATCATCTCAAGCCATCAAGTCACATCATATGTTGAATCATCCATTCATTTGTATTGTTATCTTTTTCATTTCAATTTAGCAAGCTTCAAATATGAGACTATTCCATATGCAACCCCTCATGTCTCATCAACTAATTTTTACCGGGCTTGCTTTCACATAGTACATGCAAATCCCACAATAAATAAGCCTTTGTATGAATTCTATTTGCATTGTTGTCTTATGCTTGAACTAGATTGTTTATACAATAACACATCATTTTGGCTTTCATTAAGTACCTATGAGATAATTTATTACCTGTCCACACTTAGCAAATGGGTTAGATCTTTAATCACATTGTCATTGAATCATCCAAAACCCCCTAAAGGGTTAGATGCACTTTCAGATCTTTTCGCTTGAGACTTGGGAACTTCTCCGTCTCTCGCTCGTTTGTCACCCCTACTACAAACTAGTTCCGATAACACGAGCAACAACAAACTGGACGTAGGGACATTCCGCCCAAACCAGTATAAATCCTTGTGTCCTTCGAGCATACCATCCAGGCCAGATGCGCAGATACAAATTTACTCATCGGTGGTCCGAAACACCGACAGCTGGCGCACCAGGTAGGGGGCCTTTTGCACGTCTTGACATCCACATCAGGCCTCGGATGGCTAGTCACGGAGTTAGCTGGGTCCTAGGCGTGCACGTGTGCTTCGGGAACTTGGACTTCATCGTCACGATGGAGGGAGAGGCGGCATAGGCTCCTGCCGCCGTCTAGCCTCTCCACTTTGCCGACCTCGACGTGATCATCGAGGCGCTTGAGGAGCTGCAGCTACACGCATCGGAGGCCCATGCCCCTGGGAGCAGCTAGCTCCTTAGCTTCGATTACAGGAGGTTAGAGTGCTAGCTCGATGTCTTCCTGGGACCCCGACCATCCCGGGAGGACCTACACTGCCTCACCTTCTCGTTCGCCAACGTCATGGCGTAGCTTGCTGGGGGGGAACCGCTCTCCCTAGAATACCTCATCTAGAGCGCTCCGACAACGTTCTTGTTCGGTCTCTGCAATGCTGTGGGGACCGTTGGCCACCTTGTGGCGTAGCACACGCCTCCATCCCCTACGAACGATGAGTTCATGGGGATGACCAAATATATCGTGGAGTCTTTCCACGACCTTCTCATAGGAGATTTAGAGTCACCCTCTGACTCTGACTCCAACAGGGGGAGCCACCAAACTCGTGAGAATGTTTCATGGCAGGTACCCACGAGGGACGTGTCGAAAGTGACCACAAGGGAGGGGCTACCCCAACAAACGACCTCGATGACAAGGTCGAGGGAGATGTAGGGGCCCCACCTCGCCTACGGGTGGAGTAGCTGAGGGCGTGGCATAGGGAACTCGAGGATGCGTGACTCTAGCTAGAGCAGGAGCGCGCGGAGCTCGAGCAAGAGATCGAGCGCTATGGAGACGGTGGGCGTGCGCACGCCATGGCCCGTGATGTGAATCAAAGGATCATCGAGGATGATGGAGCCCTCCCACACTTCGCCCGGGCAAGCCAGAACATCGTTGCCACAGTGGCCTTGCTTCGAGGGCTTCTGGAGCCTATGACACCTGAGGATCGTTGGGCCCAACATGAGATCCACACGCTGCTCGAGAGCACAGCGATGCAGCAGGCGGAGAGCTCGCTGTCTCGACAACATGAGCTCGACGCCAGCCAACATGCACCCTCGGGATGACATGTCAGGGACGTGTCTGTCCACCAGGCACCACGCATCGACGGGAAGCACACCACGGCTTCGATGCATGAGCATCTCAGCCTTCACCATGACGCATGTAACACCCTGGATGCCCGTAGGCGTGCACAAAGCGACGAGAGAGAGAAAGCCAGCCGCGGCCACCACCCTCATCATGGCGGATGCTATGACAGCAGCGAGGATTGGAGCCCGTGCCCCGACCTATCGGGGCCTCATGCCTTTGGCCAACATATCCTCAACGCCGTCTTCCCACCGTGGTACCGACCATCGACCAACATCCTGAAATACTCTAGGCAAACAAACCCCAGACTGTGGATCGAGGATTACCGACTTGCTTGCCAAGCCAGTGGGGCAGATAGTGATAGTTTCATTATTCACAACCTTCCATTGTTCTTGGCTAATTCGGCGTGAACATGGTTGGAGCACCTTTCGCCCAACCGGATTCAAAGTTGGGCGGACCTTAAGGAGATTTTCATGGAAAACTTCCAGGGCACCTACGCGCGTCCTGGGAACCCATGGGATCTCAAAAACTACCAACAGAAGTCTAGGAAAACTCTTCATGAGTACATCCGACACTTCTCCCGGCAGTGCAACGAACTGACCGACGTCGACGTCATATGAGCCTTCCTGTCCAGGACCACCTGTGAGTCCCTGGTTCACAAGCTGGGATGCAAGGGCCCGTGAACCACCAAGGAGCTCCTCGACATCACCACCAGCCATGCCTCGGGCGAGGAGGCAGTCAAGGCGATTTTCGACCGCCCCAAGGGCAAGGCAAAGCGGGACGAGGACGTCAGCGAAGGCGCCTCCAACCGCCCCAACATGAAGAAGAACAAGCAGCGGCGTGAGGGCTCATTCGTGGCCGCTGCCAACCGCAAGGAGGGTCGGAAGCCCACCGAGGGTACCCCGGACCACTTCGAGAAGCTGCTTGAAGGGCCATGCCCGAACCATGCCTTTCCTGTCAAGCAACTATACAAAGACTGCGTCCACATGAAGCGGTTCTTGTCCGGTAGCTCCAACAAGGGGAGCATAGGAAGGAGCCCAAGCCGGCCACAGACGATGTCGAGGGGAAGGATGGCGGCTTCCCGACACCGGACAACTGCCTCATGATCTTCAGAGGGTCGGCGGCCTATGACTCCAAGCGCTGTTAGAAGCTTGCGCGCCGCGAGGCCTATATGACCGAGCTGGCCATGCCTTCCTTCCTTCGATGGTCGGAGTCTGCCATCACCTTTGATCGGACCAACCACCCGAAAAGCATCCTGTAGTCGGGAAGACACCCGCTCGTGGTCGACCCGATTGTTGGCATGAAGCGCCTCACCAAGGTGTTGATGGATGGAGGCAGCGGCCTCAACATCAGGTATGCTGAGACACTCGACGCGATGGGCATCAACCGATCGTGCATCCGTCCTACCCATGGCCACGTCAGGCCACGCCCGGGGGTTCACATCGCCAACAGTGATGGATGCATTGTCACTGTGTTGCCTACTCTCTGTATGGTCGCTGGCCGGCACGTCGGTTCGTCGCGTCGTCTGTAGGGACGGGATGGGACGCCACGACCAGCTGATGATGCTGGGGCATGGCACCAGTGGTGAATAGGAGCCCAGCGTGGATCCATCCCCATCACCATCTACAGCGTCGGTGGGACCCGCATGAAGGAGAAGAAGGACCCGACGGCCCTGGAGGCCTTCTTCTCCCTGGCTTTTCTCCTTCTTTCTCTCTGTAACCGGTGCCTTCCCCTTCACCTATAAAAGGGGAAGTAGGACGCCCCACAACACATGGCAAACGGACTGACATCGAACACATTGCAGAACAAACACACAGCTGAACGAGCCCAGCAAGACTCTTCTCCATTCGATCTTTTCGCTAGAGACTTGGAAACTTCTCCCTCTCTCGCCTGTTTGTAATCCCTACTACAAACTAGTGTCGATAACACGAGCAACAACAAACTAGACGTAGGGACATTCCGCCCGAACTAGTATAAATCCTTGTGTCCTTCGAGCACACCATCCGAGCCAGACGCACAAATACAAATTTACTCGTCGGTGGTCCGAAACACCGACAGCACGCAACTAGCCATAGTCGACCATGGCCACATGCTGGCCACCCACGGCGTGCGTAGCCAGCCAGCAGCGAGAAGCCGAAGCTGGTCATAGCTAGGTGTTGGGTGGCCGACTATCGATTGGAGGCCGAGGTGGTGGCCAAGGACCGGTGGAGCAGTCATGGTGAAAACGCTCGAAAAACTAGTGGTTTGACAACATTTTAACTAGGTCTCAGTCACCTGAACCCTCACCCCCGCTGTACTTAAGGGGCATCCCACTTTTTTCAGGAGTGTTGGGGGTTTCTCTTTCTTAACCGTACAGAGTCTTGGAAAGCAACATGAAATCCATGTAATATGAAGTTTTTCATGTCTTTTGTTCAAAAATTGGGGTTTTTTAGAACGCGGAGCATGGGAGTTATTGTGGCTACAGGTGGATCAGACCTTAAACTTTTCATGTGCTTGTCCCATGGGCTGCCCCGAGAGAAAGGGGACCCACGACTCATCTTTTTCCGATCTTAAAAGGTACTCCCACCACTTGAAACTATAAGTTGTTTTGGCTTTTTTTAGTTACATTATTTTTGCTAATGCATAGATATACATTATGTATAAATACATATCTAAAAAAACTCATAATGACTTAGAGCCTGTTTGGCATGGCTCTACCAGTCCTACCGGGCCCCGCCAAACGGGCAAACCAAAAACAGCATCCATGAAGGAGTAAGGAGCCGGAGCACTTTTCCTCTTCACGGGCGGAGCCAGCAAAATGTGGCTTCGCACAAATCAACTCATATTGCAAGTTGACATCGAATAATCAAATCGAATAGAAAGGGCCCTATGGACACGGGCCAAGGATAGAGCTGGCAGGAGCAAGAATTGGGCTGTCACTGTTTACAAAATATATCCAATTGACTATCACGCGACCCATTCTAATTTTGATTCACTTTCTAGCCATCCATGGAGCCCACGTCGACTTAAAGAGCCAAATCATCTGCTGCGGGTAGAGCTGACAATGATTTTGGGCTTCAGCTTAAGGCTTCACAGGACACGGGTAGAGCTGACAGTAGCAAAATTGGGCCGTCACTGGTTACCAGAAACAAAGGCCCAGCCTGGACTGGCCCAATCTCCTGTCATCTAAAACCTTGGCAACCCTTCCCCAGACGACTGAGCTCCCTTCCGGCGGCGCCGCCGTCCATCCCTCTCCGCCTCCGATCTCGCACAACCACAGATCGATGGCGTCCAGCTCTAACCTGAGCCATGCCGCCTCGGTACCCGATACCGGCGCGCCGGCGCTGCCTCCCGACGCGCTGTTCGAGGTCCTGCTGCGCCTCCCGGCCAAGGATCTCTGTCGCCTCCGCGCCGTCTGCCTGTCCTGGCGCGCCCTCATCTCCGACCCTCACTTCGCCGCGGAGCACAAGTCCCGCCACACGGAGCCCCTCTTCGCCCTCACCTTTAGGGACGGTGATATCAGGGGCGTCGCCATCGTGAGCCTGTCGGGGCAGATTCTCAGGCGGATACGCATTGCCTCCGATCGCATCGAGTTGCTGCTCACCCACCTCGACCGCCTCTGTGGTATCAGGATGTGCTAGCCCTCGTTGGCCGCCTGGGTTCTCAACCCGGCCACCGCAGTTGCCCTCATTTTGCCCGGGCCTCATTCAGATGAGTTTGTGGGCATTTGCATAGAGCGGAGATTTAATTGGGGTTCTGCTTTGAGGCACAACTGCAAGACGGTTACATATGCTTTTGGACAGGTTGCTTCTACTGGCGACTACAAGGTACTCCGCATTAGCCATCCTGATCGCTCGCAGTCTCTGCTATGTGACATCAACACCCTTGATGGGAGTAGCCAGGGAAGGTGGAGGAGAAAGCAGAACCCACCCAGCAACCTTACGAGAGATCAAATCATGGAATGCTTAGCTGTCAATGGGGCTGTGTATTTCTTGTTTGATTATGCTGTTATGGAACCAACCAGCATAGCTCCATTCGACCTCGATACAGAGAAGTGGATGCCAACTCTTTGGGGTCCAGAGCCATTGCGAAGTGCTAAGTTTGGCCTCTACTCTGGGCGGGTACTCTCATTAGCCAACTTAAATGGCAGCTTGGTTATAGTTGACAATGATGCTGGTGTCTCTTTCGACCTATGGTTTCTAGTGGATCACAAGAGAGGTCTTTGGGTTAAAAAGTACAGATTAAGTATGAAGCACCTTGGTTACCTTGTATATCCTTTACTGATATTAGATGATGGGAGGATAGTCATTTTTGAAATGGTTGAGCGATTGTTAAAATGCTATGATCCAACAACCGACAATTTAGCAGATGTGTTGGATATCAGGGCAATGGGACTTGCAGAATCTCAAAGCATTGGCGTTTACACAGGAAGCCTGTTGATCTAGAGTCTCGCTTCTACCGATGATTTTGGTATGTTTGTTTTATCTAGCATTCAAAACTTTATGAGGTAGCATTGTGATGAATACTCCAGTGAAAACTTACATTTACTTAAAATATGCTGCATTGTTCTGTTGTTGATTGTTTTGTGTTCTTGGTATGCTGGTGAGTCATTGCTATATTTTACAAAATGAAATGTATGGGCAGCACTCAAACCTTTTAGGAGAATCATCTATATCCGTAAACTTTGAAATTGCAGGTTGAAATGTGTCACCTAGGTCAACAGAAAAAATAGAAAATATAAAAATACACTACTGTTGTTGATATGGTGTGTCAGGCTCCAGCATGGGGATTTTTTATTGGTGAGCTAGAAAAATAGACATTCAAAATGGAGCTGTCTTTTTCCCATTTCTTCACTTTTCAGTTGGTTAGGAAGATATCTCCATGAAGGGACATGATTTCATTGACCATTTTGAGATTTAGACCTAGATAACATATTTAACGATAGGGCTTGGCTCCTTATGGCTTGTTAGGATAACGAGATGGCTCGGCTAGGCTCATCTAGTTTAGCTCGCGAGCCAGCTCGTTATTGCTTGTCAGCAGGAGGCCGATTACTCTGATCCAGATCCTCTGACTTTACAGCTGACTTTAGCTTCATCTGAACCGTTTGTGAGACCCAACGCCTACAATTCAGTCTTCCCGTCTCATCTCCTAGGACACCTGACCTCAAGCTCTGATCACAGTGCTGGAAACTGATGCGTGACTGCTAGCTGCTACATAGCTCAACTAAAGCTCTGACAGTCATCTGCAACCCTTATTGCTATTTAGATCCCACATCACGATAAGAACTGAGGATTCTTTAGTTCTGTTCTGGTTTGATTTTGGCAAGAACAACATCATATTCTGTTTCATCAAGCGGCCACTGTACTAATCAATAATGAGCACCACTTACATCAAATCATCCTTCAACTTTCCCTCAGATTCAAACACTTATGGGAACTGACACTTCCCAGTCAAATTGCTGTGCAACGTCCTAGTCACAGTGCTGCTAATAAATGCTCCAAATCATCATTATGAGACCACACAAGAGATCGACAAGTACAGCCGGTGGGTGGTGGCAGATTGCGTGCAAATGAGCGAGGTGGAGGCCAGAGGATGCAGCAATGGTGGTGCAATAAAACGCTGCGAACCAACTGAGGAACAGCGAAATGGACAGGAGTATATCTTCGGAGTTCTGTTCGAATGGGTTTGGCTTGGTTGGTCAGATGGGCAGGTATTGTGGGGTAAACTTATTAACAATATTATTTAACTAATTATGCTCTGGGATTTGTGCAGTTTTTTGAACAAGGTCCACCAGAGCACTTCTCTGTTTTTTTATTTGTTGGTTCTTAAATGATCTACAGTTTATACTGGAAGGCTGTTGATTTAGGGAGTCACTTGTGCTGATGAGATTTGTGTGACTATTATTTGGTTTGATTTGTTACCATCAAGACGTTATATTAGTCTACTTTGCACTCCAATAAGCTGTTGCAGGTCCATGTTTTATTGGTTGTGTGAAAAAGAAGATTTCTAGACTTTTGTCTATTTTGTGAGTTCAGTTAGCGAGCTAAAAAAAATGCTGTCTTCTGTGATGTTTATTACCAAACATCTAAGATTAACACCTGATGCAACATCTTACATTAGTATAATTTGCATGCATGTTTCTATACGTGAACAATAGAATATAAATCAGTCTACTAAGTAGCATGCTTGGGGGCAACCATCAGATGGGTTGGCTAGAAAGGCTAGCTGTTTACAGCTTATATCAGTGAGGCTGGCAAGGAATAGAGAGGTGGCCAATTTAATAGCACATCTTTCAACAACTTATGAAGGCAAGGCAAGATGGGAATTTCCTTGAAATTGGATACGAAAATTAGATGCAAACTTAGCCCTAATGAGCCTCTGCCACTGGCTGCTAAACATTATTTATCTGGAGGTTTGCTACAAAATAAAGTATTTCAGTATCGAATTGCCAGTTACAATCTCATGGCCTACCAGCTCACTAGAACAATTTTCTGATGTTTGTGAAAGTTTGTTACATGCTCACTAAGCTAGAATAAGTGTCTGGTGTCTTCCACGCCAAATTGCCAGTTATACTATGGGATGAATGTTCCATAAGTTGTCTGAGGAAATGCATTGTGCTACCAGCTCTTAGCACAATATTTTCCTTGATCTCATTTGTCTTTCAGTTGAGCCTTCTTCAGCATGGTCCTTTTTTCACAGCACTGTCCAGGTTTTTGCTACATGTAATCTACTTCTGAGTTCTAATTTGATACCTTCGTTTTAATTTTCGCTGCAGCTTTAGTCAAATGCACAGTGATGGACAGCTGATAAGACATGAGTAGTATTCGCAGCTATTCTGAGTTTCATGATGGACAGCTGATATGACATGGACTCTACGTTTCTTCGAGTTGCTCATGCTGGGGTTCATACTCGTCTCAGGGTCTGTGCTCGTGTGTTAAAGTATGCAATTTCATGGTGAAGAAGGTACTCGTAATTCTGAAAGCATTGTTGGCACTTGCTCTTTCCCTTGTAAATTTGAGTGCACGTATCCACAAACTTAATCTAATCATACATCAAGTCGAGGTTCCAGGGCTATGGTACAGTGATTTTAGAGAAAAACTGTGCCACGACCACACTGCTTTCATGTGTGCTCCAGTGTCTCCGCGCTCAGCTTATATACTATACTGAATTCCTTAAAAACTTTACTATGGTAAGTAAACACATGAAACACTCTCAGGATTGCTCTGTGGCACATAAATCTGAATTCCTTAAAAAGGTGTGTCTTAGTTTTTGTATGGGTGTAGTAAGTAATTTATGAAGCTTACAATAGACGAACTTAATGTTCACATCCAACTGTTTTCCAATTATTTCTTAAAACATAATTGCTCTTTGACGTTAAAAAACATTTAAAGGGCATCACGGTACACCGTGGACCACAATTTTGTTATCAGAATTTTTAATGTCACCTATGATTCAGACCATGTCACAATGGTTACACTATACACACCATGACAAGACAACATATTACAATATTGGGATCATCATATAGTGAAGTAACTATTCCCAAAACGCTCTGGGTACGTATGTATATTGCAAAGCAGATGAAGTATACTGAAAAAGCTGAATGTGCTATAATGACTGGTTTCATGGCCTTCTTTCTTTTTGAAATGGGCCGGTGATGATCTCCTTAGATGAACCATGTTGGACTGAGTATATGAGTTCTCTAAACTTCCATGAAGAAAATCCATGTGTTGTATTTGTCATGGTGGTTTGCATTGCTCACATGACTGTTATTGGCCTTGGAGAAGCACGAATGCCTTATTAATCAGCTCCAACCATGGGTCAGTAGTGCAAGGACATTGATTTTAATTATTGATATCCCTCGTGTAGATGCGACCACAAGGCTGCATGTAATTAGGTGTTCCAAAGTTATGTCGAGGAATTAGAAAAAAAGAAGAATTACAACAATATAACAAGGCAAACAGGACAAGTAAAATTGAGTTGGCAATTATTTGTTGTTCATAATACTACTTAAATATTTCTATAGTTATGCAATATGGCCATAAGATAAATGAGAATGTTTCCGATAGTGAATACATAATTATTTTAACCTTGTAATGATTTATTTACAAAGGATCAAATATTTCACTGTTTAAGGTCCTTATTACTTGCACATTAACAATGTTATCAGGGAAGTATTGTATTAATAGGAAATAATTATTACCTTGTCAAGTCCTTAGTGCCATCGAATACCATGCAAACAATGGAACCGGTCATAGAAAAGTCAACCTTTTTCATCAGCCTATATGATATGGAGAACATCATTAGTTATATCAATCATATAGGAAACATAAATCTTGCCCATGACTGCAATAATAATATAAGAAAGAACTAGAACTTAATTAGCTCTAGCTAAGCTTGGTAGATTTTTGAGGGAATATGCTCACTCAGGGTGGGTAGTTTCTGGCATTCCAAAACATGTCATGATTTTCATCAATTGATATGAGCTGGCAAATTTTGTGTCCAATATGTTAGGAGTACAGGTACATATGATTAGTAATAGAGATATATAATCCTACAGGTAGAATAATTTTAGACCTAGTATTGTACTCTAAGTAGATCGAGAGTTCTTCTAACTATCTCCAACAACGGCACCCAAAATACAAGACCCATTCCATGTTTGGGTAGCGTTACAGGGCAAAGGGTTCAATACCCATTTTTTGTCTTCTCCAATACAAAACCCAAAAGAGAACCCTTTCTGCAAATGAGTCTCCAGAAGAGAGGATAATCAGATTTAGGTTATGTCTCTCCTGGCACCCAAAATATGTATCATGTATAGGTACTCTGTTGGAAGTTGATACAGTACTGTCGGAGACCCATTTTGGGTTTCGGTGCCCTTATGGGTCACCTGTTGGAGTCAGTCAGTCATGTACCAAGTTCAACTAGAACATGTATCACAGATGGCAGTCAGTCATGTACCAAGTTCAACTAGAACATGTATCACAGATGGTCTTAACTGATCTAAACATGCCCTTCATCTGTCCAATACTCCGTCCTCTATATCCGATGGCCGATGCCATCCTGGGTAGGATTGTGGCACATTTGGGAGCAATAATATCATGGAAAGCAACTCTCGGTGGATTCATGGCACTATGCTCTGGTAGAAACATATCAGAAACAATGCTTTTATCAATGACAAAATAAGCATGGGGGAGTTAATACTCACCTATAGGTCCTAGAATCCCAGAAAAAAACATGTTTCTTGCCAGATCCGTGTAGCACCATTATGGTAGCCAATATTGGAAGCTTATTGTGGTGACAAGCAACCCAATCACCGTGCAACTCTCTTGTCACACGAAGTGTGTGAACATGTTTCTCTGTCAGCAAATCCCATATCTGTTTTAACATGAGAAATGGAGTAGAAATCAAATATTGTCCCCTACACGTCAAACAATTAACTAATATA